TTGAATTTATGGATCGCATAATGTAATTGTGGTTACATATAAAAATAATCTTTATATTTTAGATATACATGTTGAGATATTTGTGAATGAAATTTAATATCTGAAATTTATTTCAATTATGAGTGGATATACTTTTCAATGCTGTTTCATGAACAGCACTGAAATAGGGATTGAAATTGGTGGTTCCTGATTTTGGTGCTTTGTCTTTGCATGTATAATATTACTAATTGAAAAGCTAATGATATGATCGTTCATTATCGTAATTTGGAAATCCTTATGTTATGTTGCTGAGTAAGCACATGGACTATTGCAGTATTGTAGTCCTTATTTTTTTTAATAGTGACATGAAAACACAAGAGTGGTGATGTTGGCAATTTGAATATGCCAAAGAGAAACTGTAAAGTGATGTCTTTATGTAAAAAGGTGAAAGATTTGATGAATACAGAGAGAAAACAAAATGTATGCTAAGGTTGTTGACATCTATAAGAATGACTCTTCTATCCATGTATAACGAAAAACAAATTCATGCTTGTTTTGTTGCTGCATCTCAAACTACGACAGGTATAGTCACAGCTCAGGATCACTGCTTAGTGAAGATGGAAAAGGCATTAAATCTGTGGGAGGAAGGCATGAACAGATTGACAGCAGTTGGGTTTGGTACTGTCTGTGGTTTCCAGTACTCAAGGGGGCCTTGGAACATACCCACCATGGATAAGGGCAAACTACTGTTCATTTATATATTGGCAAGAATCACATGAACATATACACAGGCACATGCATTCTCTTAAAAAATAGTTTGGAAATCCTTGTGTTTTGTGATTGAAGGTTTATTTCAGAAAGTCATTCATGTAGAGGTCATAGTGATACTGAATTTCTCTTTGTGAGATTTTTGCCCTTGGGAATTGAAGAATGATTTCACAGATATCAGGTAAGTGAAAGCAATAGCTTATACCAGATAGGAAAGCTCCCAGTACAATGGAAGCGGTCCCTAACTGTTGTCATGCAGCTTGGTTGTTTAGTGGACTTGTAAGCCTTATCTGACTGCAAAACCCTTGTTGGTAAACAGTGATTGGTTCCTTTATAACTAGCAGTCTGGTCTCTGTTGATGCCTTTTATTCCTGCCAGTGTGCTTTCTTCTCCCAATCCCTTAAAAAAGTTCCTCCCCTGGCAGCCACGCCCAGCCATAGCCAGCATCAGTGACCAAAGGCTACACAGGTCATGGGGGCACTATGTGGTGTCCATGAAGGACCCTTTAGACTTGCCAACTGATTACCTCTTCTTCTCTGAGCTCTATTTCCCTATTCCTACTTAAAGCCTTCTGCCTCCTATAGTAGCAAAGTAATGGGGGAAATTTAGGTTCATCAAGGTAAGGATACTAAGAAGAAAATTATAAGTTCCCAAAAGCACTATTGAGGGATCATCATTTGAGAATTGACAGAATAAGGCAACTAAAGAAAATAGAGGAAAGATATATGAAAAATCTGAAGAAACTGGCTGAAGACATCAACGATCACAAAAATATCAGGATTTTCAAGCAATTAAAAATTTGATTTCGGCTCGGCGCCTATAGCTCAACCGGCTAAGGTGCCAGCCACGCACACCTAAGGTGGCGGGTTCGAATCCCCAGCCTGGACCTGCCAAACAACAATGACAGCTGCAACCAAAAAAAAAAAAAAAATAGCCGGGCGTTGTGGCGGGCGCCTGTGGTCCCAGCTACTTGGGAGGCGGAGGCAGGAGACTCGCTTGAGCCCAGGAGTTGGAGGTTGCTGTGAGCTGTAATGCCATGGCACTCTACCCAGGGGGACAACTTGAGGCTCTGTCTCAAAAAAAAAAAAAAATTGATTTCAATTGGTTTAAAAGAAAAATGAAACTTATTAAGTTCCTGAAACTTAAATACCCATGCCTCAGGTACAATTGATTCAGGCTTTGACCCTGTTATCATTTGCTTTTTTTCTGAACTGGGCCAGCTTTTCCTATGGGACAAATTTATATAGCAATTTTGAGCTTTGCACACATGATAGCAGCTGGAGAATGAGAGAACGCCTCTCTCTTTCCCCAAGCAGCAAACATAAATCCTAGGCTTCAGTAGGATTGGGACAAATAGGTCAGAAATACACGAGCCAATTATTCTGGCTAAGGAGGGGAATGAAATTATGATCATTATTATAGATCGTGGTTTTCATCTGGGTCAATTTGTCCTCCTAGGAAACATTTAGAATATCTAGATACATTTCAGTCACAACTGAGCACAGACTATTGGAATCTAGTGGGTAGAACCCGAGATGCTGCTAACATCCTTCAGTGCACAGAGCAGCTTCCACAGCAAGAAGCATGTGGCCCAAAATACCAGTAGCATGGAGATTGAGAGACCATTACAATAAGGTTCTTATATCAAATATACAGCAGATTTACCTGAAAGCCTTGTTAAAACAAACAGGTCACTGGTTATCATTCCCATACTTTCTGATTCAGCTGGTTTGGGGGTAGAAATTTGATTTTCTAGGAAGGTTCTAGTCACTGTTGCTTCAGACTGTTTATTGTTCACCCTGTGTCCACATTGCATAATTCACGGTACACAGCAGGAGCATGACTGTGCTGTAAGATGGGCCAGCTGAATGTAACCCAGAGATGTAGCCACGTGCATTAATATAAGGAGGATAAAGCTGTGATTTCACCCATTTTCTACCCTTGTCAAATTCAAAAGACCATGTTGTCCTAAAATGTACAGATGGGAGAATTGCTTCTAGAACTTGTTTCTACTAGAATTGCTTCTACTGCTTGTTTCTCCAAAACTATTTCCTTTGATCTTCATTCCTAAGTCATATATATATATATATGCATATATATTTCTATGCTTTATTTATATATATTTATATGTATTCAAATCCTCTTGCCTCCTAGTATTATAATCAGAATTAATTTGGATGCTTTAAGATAGACTGTTATAGAAAACTCTAGAATAAACAAAAATGAATAAATGGAAGTGTAAATGAAAAATAAAACTGCTCTGATGCAGCACAGACCTCAAGTAAGGACTGTGAGGGCAGGAACAGCCCTCTTAATTCTTCTGCATGGTATTCCCAATCACCTGAACTATTATTCTTTACTCATCCTCCCTCTCACTCACTCTCACTGGAAAAAGGAGCAGCAATATTCTACCACAATGACTCCTTGAAGGTAGAATACAGTTGTAGTAAGGACAAGGGTCGCTTTCTTCAGAGGAACTTAGAGTAGAAACAAGAAAAGGAGAATGACTTTTTGGCTAAATGGAAAATATTATAGTAAGAAAAGGAAGCTCTGGAATACAAACTAAAGAGATAAAAGGAGGGAAAGAGACGACCATGGAAGAAGACCATCAACTTGATAGTCAGTACTCAGATCTAATTTTTACTGGGAAAATGCATTTACTAGGAGGAGATCTTGCCAGGGATCCACAAACAGGCAGCACTAACCTCAGGGAACTTACAAGTAGGGAAGGAAGAAACGCCAAATAATTGCAATGCTGTGGGTGTTGAGTACAGAGGATCTGAGGGTGATATCAGACAGGGAGAGTTACTTCCATGGCAGCAGCAGGAAAGGCCTCCTTGGAGGAAAAAGCTTCTCAGTTGGGCTTTGAGGGTGAGAAAGTCCTCCAGGAAGAGACAAAGAAAGTACATGAAAATGTCCTGCTAGGCAATAAAATGATCTAAGCTTTGAGAAATTATAGTTAGGCAGAAGAAACCGAAACTTTAAAAAATATAAAGTCAAAGGAAGTCACTATTATGTGAATATATATCATATTTGCTTTATTCTGAGACATTCTTTCTCATATTTTAATATAGAAGACATAGATCATACTACTGAAACAGAATTGTGATATGTTGACTTCTTAAATCATTTTCTACTGGGATTCCAATTATAATTTGTCTTAAACTCCGTTGAAAGTCTATTTGGACATAATATGATGATTATTTCATAAAATGTGAGGAGATCTTCTCCCGGGTTGACATTGTGGGATCTAGGCTTCTTGGTCCTTATTCCAAATAGAAGCGAAGACATGTAGAGGACTCAAGGCATATTGTGATATGACCTGTGAAAACCACGTGATGTAGGGCTGTATATAAGAGGTATTTGTGACTCAGTGCCCATAGCTCAGTAAGTAGGGCGTCAGCCACATACACCAAGGCTGGCAGGTTTGACCTCGGCCCAGGCGTGCTAAACAACAGTGACAAGTGCAACCAAAAAATAGCCAGGTGTTGTGGCAGACGACTGTCGTCCTAACCACCTGGGATGCTGAGGCAAGAGAATTGCATAAGCCCAAGAATTTGAGGTTGCTGTGAGCTATGATGCCACAGCATTCTACTGAGGTTGACATAGTGAGACTGTCTCAAAAAAAAAAAAAAAAAAGAGAGGTATTTGTACACCCATGTTCATGGCAGCATTAATCACAATAGGTCAAGGTGGAGGCAAGTGTAGTGACCACAAATGGATGAATGGATGATCTGAATGTGTCAAGCCCACAAAGGAAGGAAACCCTGTCACAGTCTACAACATGGCTGAACCTTGGGAAACTTACAGTAGGTGAAATAACCAGTCACAAAAAGACAGTTACCATACTTGTGTATGAGTCTACTTACACGATGTTCCTAGAGTAGGCAAGTTCAGAGATATTAGATAGTACAATGCTCTTGTCCAGAGGATGGAGGTGGGGAAAGTGAAATGCTGTTGTTGTATAGGAATAGAGGTTCAGTTCCGAAGGGATAGAAGAGCTCTGGAGATTGCTTGCAACGTGAAAAGCAATGTAAATGTTCTTAACATCACTCAAGTGTGCACTCAAAAAATGGTCAAGATGCTAAATTTTGTTCTGTGTATTTTTATAGGATTAGAAAGTATATATCTCCATATAAAGGACATGGGGGGAGGGAAATGGTCTGCTAGACAGATTGTGACTGGATATAGATAAAATGATGGAAAAGAATGGGAGCAAGGACAGAAAAGAAAGATTAATTAAAACTCAAAACTCACCGGCGCCTCATACGCCATAGTGCAAGACCCAGCAAAAGGATGAAGGAGGGCACTAATATTGCCACAAAGATCGAGGCAAAGGAGATGGGTTGTCCTGGAAATTGGCAAAGGAAAAAAGAACGTCATGTCTCATCTCATGTCCTGAGTTCCCTGACATCCTTTGGATGCCTGTGTGCCAGCACCACCATTCACTTGCTTCACATGTGTGGTCATCCTCACCTCCATAACTGTATTCCTGATTCCATCTATCCATCCTGTGATCCTTCTAGCCCCAACTTAAACAATCTGCAGGTCCTTCACACTTACCTCTTCCATATCTTGGCTCCTCTATTTTTATTCCTGTTGGAACTTGTGTCCCAGAAATGAATCAGTCTCTCTTTCCCTCTCACTTCATCTATCAAGCCCCTCCTTCCCTAGGGCCTCCCTCTGTGCCCGAGGACCTCCTCCTCCCATGTCCAGCCTGGGTGGTGTTCTTTCTTACTCCAGTGGAGGACGATGTCCTGGCCCTCTAGACTGCTGTGCTTCACCCGGCAGGACAGACCAGCAGCCTCCCCAGCGGCCACATCCAGGGTTGCTCGGAGATACCATGTCCAGTCAGCATTGGGCTGGAGGTCGCTGTGCTGAGTGCCCGGCTGCTCCTGCTCACCCCGCATCCACATCACCCACACTGGCTTTGGGTAGAATCCTGAGACGTGGCAGACCAGCAGCAGACGGCCAGGCCCGGGACTGGGGCCACTGGACAGCCAGGCCTCGGGCTTCACTGGTAGAAAAGGGCAGTGATGGTGTCTTATCATGATGCAAATTGAGATGATAGGGACTCAGAAACCTCTAAGGTTTGACAGTGACCCCTTCCATGATTTTTGGTACCAAACAGTTCTTTGGTTAACTACTATCCTTCTTGGGTACCTCCTAGTCTGGAGCTCAGAGCAGGTGGTAGGAAGTGAAGAAGAGAGCAGGACTCACCTTGCCTTTGCAGCTCTGCCTTCCCTGCATCCAGGACGCTCAAGAGAAATCGGGGGCAGGTTTCGAACAGGAGCTTTTTCCCAGTAACAATGAGACCACGAAATTTCATGATTAGTATGCAAGCCTGCTGGGCCCTGGTGCCCCCCTCTGGGGAAGGCACACATGTATCATTGACGAAACTCAGGAAATCTAGTCCTCCTAAAGCTCCCCTCAAGAAGCTTACTATGGAACCTCCAGAACGTAGCTCACAACCTGCTATGCCCTGAATCTCAAAGGGGTCTAGGAAGAAAGATGACAGAGAACAATTAATTAAACACAAATTAAAAAAAAAAAAAACATGAGAAAAGGAATGAGGGTGTTAGATTTTTGTTGGTATGAAGTCATTGGATGTGAAATGATGACTCAACCCCAATTTAGCATTTAGGGCTTTCCAGAAAGAAGATCACTGTGTAGGTGTGGGGTGTATAGCAGAAGTGGGGGTGGGGAGGCAGAGCATGATGCAGCCCCGAGCACAGACAGCACTTCAGCCTGAGACACAGGACCACAGGAAGAGCAGCGCAGGGAGGAGACGACTGAGGAGATGGATCAGAGGAGGGAGCCACAGTGCAGATCTCTTGGGACAGGGAGAGAATAAAGGCTCTTGAGGAGCCAAGTCCACATAGGACAAAGCAGGATTTGGTTATAAGGAGCCTGGATCTCTCAGAGAAGAGTCAGAGGTGGCCAGAATCTGCAATAAGGTGTGAGGTGTAGAGTAAACGTGAGAGACTGCTTTAGGAGAGTGTGTGCATACAGTTGGGTAGAGCAGAAAGCAGGGAGGAGGATCCGTGGCCTCAGTAATTTGCAAAAATAGTCTTTTCAGTTCAGAGCTATGTACTCACATTCCATCTGGGATGCACTGGCATGTGCCTGTATTTGTCCTATGAATCTAAATATGTAGTCTCCAAATAGTATATTCAGTTCAGCAACCTCCTCATCACTGAGGTTGCCCTTGGACCAGGGCTTCAGGAATATGGCAGTGCCTGAGTCACTGTCCCAGCTGTGAATCTGCAAATCATCCAACCAGCCTGAACCTTGATTTTTTGCCCAGGTGCTGTTGACAAAGGATGTGATCTGGATAATATGGTAAGAAGTGGTTCCCTGGAAGGCTGTGAAAAGAAAGGGATAAGCAGGAAGGAGTGAGAAGGTACAGAAATGGAAAAAATCCAGACAACAGGAACCTGGATGCTGATGAAAACATAAAGGGTGACACATATGACTGCCCAGAGCTTCAGGCTCCATCCCCAGCACCTGGAATGGGAGCAGAGGGCTGGAGACTGCAGGGCTCAGGAATTTTGGGTCCAGGTGCCTCTGGGTAGTGCAATCTACTTTTACCCAATACCCTTGCAACAGTGCAGGGAGCTGCCAGAATGACTCTTACCATCCTCGCTGTCAGCACCTGGGAGGAGAACAGCGAACAATTCAAATGGCAGAAGCAGCATTTCTCCAGGAGATGGAACTTCTGACTTGTAGAGCTGTTGTTTGATCTCTGATTTCAGCAAACCTTCTTCTCAGTACCTGTAAGGACTTCCTCTTTCTTCCAACTGACAATTACCTCTCGCATGCAAATTGTGCTTCAGAGGAAAAGGATATGCCTCCCACATCCTTTAACCTTGTAGCCTACCTCTTGCCCTCCACCCCTGCCCCAGCCTTGCCCTGACTTGTAGACTTTCTATTTCCTCCCTGACTTTCTGCTGCTCCTCAGCTTCCTTCACACCACCTTGAAAAGCCCCCCTGTGCTTCTTAAGGGTCATTTCACCTTCCTCGCCTTTTCCCCACATGTGTAGCATAAGAGAGTGATATTTAAAAATTGTTTATCTTCCAGTCTGCTCTAACCTAGGTGGAGGCTTTGGCTTATCCACCCGACTCAGCCTTCCTCCCTGTCTACTGCCTTCTCTTCTCAGACCCTCTCTCACTGCTTCCTAATGTTCTCAAGGTCTTCTCTTTCTTATCTTACCCCTCCTTGTCTGGTGTCTCTTACCCTCTGTTCTAATCTGGCTGTGTGTGTGTGTTTGTGTAGATTTTCACTTACATGAAGGCAGAGCTTTTAAATTCTAAGTGTGCTGTAGAAATACCAACCTAAATCCTAGAATCTAATGTCATAGACCTGCTACTCATAATCCAGGCAATATTATCTTACATCTTAGCTAATGTTGAGGCAAACATGGCACTTGCTCCCCTTCTCTTCAGTAGCCCCTGAACTGAAGACAAAACAAGTTTTTCAAACAAGTGTTCAGGAGATAAGCAAAACTCCTGGGGCTGTGCTCTGTACACCTCCCACCTAAGTCAAAGGTGCCGGTTTCAGTGAGATTCTTGAAGCAGTAGAGCCATATTCTTCTTTTTTACTATCTCATGACTTCTGTCTACATTTATGCCTTCATATCCGCACATAAGGTGTTAGTTAATAAGGGGACCAAGGAGGCTGCCAATTTCTATACCAGTTACACAGAGTGTTCATTATAAGGGGTCATCATCTCTTGTCATCTTTTTGTTTGAATTTTGCAAGTTTTGACAATATTTTTAGAATCCACTGATTGAAAATTTGTATTTTAACCATATGTTGGTTTAAATGTGATATATTATTGCAAGCTTAAGATGAAGTTTACTGAGGAAGAGAAAGACAGTTTCATGGAGCAAAAACAAGGCACAAATATATTTGCTACAGAGCATGTATGGGCTCCTATCATAATGCAAAGTCCTAAGGATGATTTTTTAATTGTCTCTAATTTGGAAAATATCATAAATTTGTATAAATCTACATATCATGCATAAATATGATGATAAATGATTCCAAGTGGAAAGGGGTGTCACTACCTCCTTCTATTAAATAGGGGAAAATAAAAATAAAAATAAGAAATTGGCAATTGCTATTCTCAGAAATGACTGGTTCATAGTATTAATAAGAGTAGCCTCCAAAGTTACAATTGATGTGAACCAAATATCAACTGTTCCTCACTTTCAAAATTAATCCAATGAGTTGGCAGGGCACAAAAGACTATCACAATATATTATTCCAACACTCACCAAATTGTCAGAGAAGGTAACCCCAAAGTATGACAACCGTAATTTAGACAAAATTATTTCACCAGAAGAGAGTATTCAGTGTTGCCAAGACCATGTTAGAATCTGAGTTGGACCCGAGGGAAGGAAGATAGGGGGAGAGATCTTGGTTTTAGCTTTAACTGGAGGTCAGTAAGTCTGTGTCACATATGTTAAGAATGTCAACACAGATGACAAACAGAAAGAGAGTCTCTCCAGAAGACAAAGATATTTATTTGGGAAGAGTGCATCTCAATGGACATCTGGGTGCTGTAGTAAACCATATGTGCATATGACAAGCGGTATAGGAAGACAAACTTTTAAAGAAAACCTGAGAATTACAAAATTGTTCTGAAATAATTTTCCATGATTAGACAGATTAATAACAAGGGTGATGCCTGTCAGAGGTGGGACAGGCAGCTTCTGCACAGATGTCTTTGCAGAAGTATTTTTGTGTAAGTTCATGATGCCCTTTGTGCAAAGCCTCGAGTATTTCAGAGACTTTGTTGATAGTTTTTGTGAGTAGGCAACAAGCAGGAGAGCCCTCTCTGTGACCTTCCCCAGAGCTATTTGCTATTATTATTTTTTTACACTGTGACTCCATTTTGAGTCTGGTGGCTTTTACAAGAAGATGACTGTAAGTTCAAACTCAATAAAGAAAATTTCCCACCAAAAGGAGGATGTTCGAGGGGCGGACATAGATGGCAGACTAGAGACAGCTTCTTTGCAACTAGTTGTGGTGAGATTGGGCAGAGAAGATTCCAGGCATTTCTGGCTTGTGTGCTCTGCCCAGAAATATCTCTTCAGGGGCACAGGGAAACAGTGGGAGACTTCAGGACCCCAGCAGGAGAACGAAAGAAGTGGAGAAGCGGCAGGTGTTTGCATTTGGGCAGAGGCTGGCTACCCATGGCAGCTGCGGTGGTGGAGAGTTTGCAGGCAGGGAAGGCCTTTTCTGTGTGTTTTTTTTTTTTTGGACTAGGGCATTTGGTTGAGTTATCTTGCTTGGGCTAGCAAGCAAGTGACTTTGAAGAGCACCTAGAGGTCAGGACTGAGCCACGGGATGGAGCAGAGCTTTCGTTGTTCCGCCACAGGCGGGGCAGGGCACAGCCATCATGGGAGAGCTGTGTGGCAGGCTTTGCCCTCAGGCTTCTAGAAAGAGGATGGTTTTGTTGTGCCTCCTAAGTGGGCAGCCACTTCTGGAGAGATCCAAGCAACACATGGTTTCCTGGGAAAACCACTGTGTAGCCAAGGGACACAGTTCGAAAGGTCAAGGTGTGTCTATTAAGCGGGCTGAGGAGAGCTTTAGGCTCCCAACCCTGTGGAGTTTGAGGGCAAAGAAGTTAGCAGAGGCTTCCCATCTCCATCTTACACAGCTGTCTCAGCGTTGTGATTAGCATCACATACCCCAGAAGATCACCTGTTGGCCGGGCAATGTTCAGCAAATACACATACATGTAGTTTTTTTCCTTTAAAAATTTTTTTTCACGTTTTTCCCCTCCAGATTTTTTGCTAAAAATATTTGCTTTATATATTTGGGTGCTCTGGTGATAGGTATATATGTATATATGTTGATAATTATTGTATCTTCTCGCTAAATTGACCTGTTTATATAAAAACCTTGTTTGTCTTCCTATGTTTGTTGACTTAAAGTCTATCTTTTTTGTTAGAAGTCTAGCTACTCTCTCATGCTTTTAACTTCCATTTGAGTGAAATATTTTTTTATAATCCTTCATTGTTAGTCTTCACAGTTATAGTAAATTTCTAGTAGGGAACTTGAATTTATGTTTATCATTCATTCAGCCAGTCTATGCATATGTTTTTTAATTTAGAATGCGTTTAATTCACAGACTACATTTTTATATTTTGCATTCCTAATTTTGAATTAATCAATTATTTAATTTATTATACTTATTTCAAAATATTACTGGGTTACAAATATTTTGGTTACCTGTATTGCTTTTGTATAGTTTGAGTCAAAATTGTCTGTGTGTCTTTTACCCATGTAGTGATGATTATACCTGTTAGGTGTGAATTTACCCAACTCTTCCCGCCCCCCTCCCATTTGCTTTCTTTCCATTGAGTTTGACTACCAAATGTGCACACATGTGTTTATCCATTGATTCCAATTTAATAGTGAGTACCTGAGGTGTTTGCCTTTTCCATTCTTGCATAAGATTGGTCTTCCTTTCCATCCTGGTTGTCAGGAAAGGTATTAGTTCACCAATTTTTAATGGCTGTTTAGTACTCCATAGAATTCATATACTTGTTTTATTAATCCACTCAAGTCTTGATGAGTACTTGGGTTGGATACACATATTTGCAGTCTGAATTGTGCTGCAATAAATATTTGAGTACACATGACTTTTTGATGAAATGACCTTTTTATTTGGGTAAATAACCAATAGCTGTATAGTTGAATCAGAAGGTAGGTCTACCTTTTGTTCTTTATCTCCATGTGACTTTCTATAGAGGTGACACTTGTTTGTAGTCCCAGCAATAGTGGGAGTGTTCCTTTCTCTCTGCATCCACCACAGTGTCTGCTGTTTGGGGATTTTTTTTGATAACAGCTGTTGTCACTAGAGTTAAGTGATGCCTCATTATGGTTTTTATTTGCATTCCCCTGATTAGAGATGTGGAGCATTTTCCCACATGTTTATTTGTCATCAATGTGTCTTCTTTTGAAAAGCTTCTGTTCATGGTTTTTGCTCACCTTTTAATAGTTTTTTTTTTTTTTTACTTTTTTGATTTTCTTGAGTTCTTTGTAGATTCTCTTTATCAGCCCTTTATCCAATGTATGGTATGCATGTATTTTCTTTCATTTTGTACATTGTTTGCACTATTTATTGTTTCTTTGGCTGTGCAGAAGCTTTTCAATTTGATCAGGTCCCATATGTTAATTTTTGCTCCTGCTATGATTCCTTTGGGGATCTTCTTCATCAATTCTTTGCCTAGGCAATTCTTTGTTTATAAATAGAGTTTTTCCAATATTTTCTTCTAGAGTGCTTTATATAAAAATTTATTTATTTACTTTATTAATTTATAATTAAAATCATAACTGTATATATTTATTGGGTACAGTGTGATGATTTGATATACAATTTTTTTTGAACTTATAAATGTTAGGCTGATTTATAAGAGCTGCTCTGGGAAGTTATACAGTTTGTTTACAATGAGGAGTTATCTAACTCTGAACATAGTGTACATGGCAGACAGAAGTCATCATAGCAAGAGAACCACAGCTATTCTGCTGCAGCCAATACAAAAACCACCACAGAGCAGGAGGGGAAATGTCGGGATGAAGAGTTTTTTTTTCTTTTTAATTAGAAAAGAAAAAATAACTCCTCTGCAATCTTAACAAAGGGAAAGAGTATTTTGCACTGGGAGAAGAAAATGGCACAAAATA